ATTGGGTGATGTGGAAGGATGTTTTAACAAAACAATGGATGGGCCCACATCCTGTCTTACGACGGACGTGAGGACCGGTTTGTGTTTTTCTGCAGGATTCTGACAGACCAGTGTGGGTGCCAGAATGTTTGACGCGAGTGATAAGAAAGCTGGAGCAAAATGAACCTGTGGATGTGGTGGATGCTGACCAGCCTGATGTTCATTCAGATACCAAGAGGAGACAGCCAGAATCTCTAGCTAAAACTGCACAATAAAAGGTGTGAAGCAAATATTGACTCGCAGTCTAGGGCCTTGGAAATGGCTCCCAGAATGGACTGCTGTCAAAATACTGTGACTCCTAGAAGAGATCTTGCTGTGACCAATTTATTTCCTACCTGTTCAAATTCTGCCTTTGTGGGGTATAACTATACACATGGTAACCTTGTTCAATCTGTTTCTGCTCAGTCTTGGAATGTCTGGGTACTTTGCACTAGTAGGAGTGAGTGTTCAGATATATCAGCTTTTGCATTTATTGATAAGGTAGTGATAAATTGTAATTATAATAGTAATAGTTCTAGAATATGGGAAGAGAATGTTAAAGTTAATTGCAGTCGTGACATTATCTATAATGCTATTTATGTATGTGTACAAGCTCCATTTATGTTTATTGTTTCCATGAGTGCTAATGTTACCCTTTTGAATTGCTCTGTAGTTAAGTGAGCCCTTAACCAGTGTTGGAATGGCTCTGGTACTGCAGTGGTGGTACGCATTCCACAACTTATTTCCATCATATGGGGACCTGCTGTGTGCTTAGTCTACTGGAATGTGTGTCACTCCCTCTATTGTCACCAATGGTTCCTGAGCATTGAATTTGTCCAGAGAGTTATCCGCTATGCTATCCCTTAATGGAAGCTGGTCCATACGATTTGACAATTTGACTTAGGAACTAAGATCCCAAATTATAGCCATAAACAGCACCAAAGTAGAGATTGCCACGGTAGAGCAATGGACAAATTGTATACTAAAGGATCTTTCTTTTGCACGCCAATGGGCCGGTATAGTAGGCCTGGGCCTTATCTTATTCATTATCATTGTTTGGGGTCTGTGGATACTTCATCCTTTAGCACAGCATCAGCAGCACTAACAGCGGCTGCTAGTGAAAGCTGTGCTTGCCCTTCACAACAGAGAATCCCCAGAAGTCTGGCTAGGCATGCTGGACCAGTAGCCAGAGATGGGTAAGTATCAGATATGGCTTCACCAATCTAAGACAGGTGCCACGTTCCTAGCCACGTGGTTAGCCCATGACAGGTAAGGGGAGCCCGAACTTGGAACACATAAGACAGGCACGGTCCCTTGCTTAATAAAACAAGAAGGGGGAGCTGTTGGGGCACTGACAATTTCCTGCCTTGTGATCGGTCCTTTGCCCTGATTAGGGTGCCTTGGATATCTTTAAGCTGATTGGACAGGTTTGACACTTAAGCGGGGGCTTGGTGGGGGAGGGGTTTCAGCATAACGGTCACAACGGTCATAATGGTTCACAATGGAAGATCGGAATAAAGCGCCTTGGAGACTCTCTCAAGTGTTGGATGATTTCTTCCGTGGGACGGGAGGACGCCCGATAGGTGTGTGCTGCCGAGTACTGTGTCCTGGTTGAGGAAACGCCAAATAGCTTCTACCACCTACCTACAAACATTGCTTTTATAAGCATCATTGGGTCTGTCCCCAACCTTGGCGCTTATGCACATGCCTAAGTGCTTTGACCTGATCCACCAAGGCAGGCCTCCAGATTCTCCCTTCTGATCCATCCTGCCTCAGGTCTCTCATTTACTTCTAAGTGCAGTGATCTGCTTTGTGGAAGCCCCTAAGAAATCATCTAATACATGTCAAAAAAGCCCTCAGTGGCCCTGATTCAGAACTGTCTGGTTTCCCACCCTCTAGTAATACACACTTTTCCACCCCCCCCCCCCAATGCGCACATGACAGTGGTGATGGCGGTGACAGTGGGGTGGCTCTGGCTGGTGCTCTGTCTTCTTTGCCCCCAAAACCTTTAAAAAAAGAATAGAATGGGCAGCTATGCTGAGAGACTGGCAGGGTTTCCACATAGAGAGAGAGAGAGATGAGCATTTTTTTATCCACTACTTCACTTCCCAAATGCTACCAGTACCAACATCAGACTAGGTTGAAGCCAACATCCAGGAGTTTCATCTGAGTCTTCAACATGAGTGTTAGGAACCAGAATCTTGGGTCATCATCCATTCCCTCTCAGGCATATTAGCAGGCAAGCTAGGTTGGAAGTGAGGAGTAATTAAGGTTTGTACCATCCTATGTGGTGAGGCTTGTGAGGGTATCTTGAGTGGCTATGTGATAAACACTGTCCTTCATGATAAGAATGAGGTGCTGGTTTTTAAGCAGCTTTGAATCATGGTTTATTTACTACTTCCTCCAGCATCGTATGTCAATTTTGCCTAATCCCATCTACCTCAAGAATCTTTGTGCTTTGAAAGATGAAGGTTAGTATTTCGTTACAGTGTATTTTCTTTCATCACAATGAAATTTGAACACTTTCCACACATTTATTATTCATGTTGTATTTTGCCATGAAAATTGTTTGTCCTAATAAGATGCGGGACTCTCCTGATGGTCCATGCCTGCAATGTTGGGATCATGACTGGTTATGAACTGTACTACTGTAACAATATGGAGGAATCCAATATGTGGGGAGGGCCTGGGGAGGGGTTGGGGGAATCCCAGAGCCTATAAAACTGTGTCATAAAAAGAAATTAAAAAAATTGTTGTCTTTAGTCTTTTCTGATTTTGTCCAGAAGCACAATTTTTCTCATAATGATATATGTTAAATAAATGTGTACCCATATTTAGAAGACATTTAATATAGCAAGTGAGCTTTAATATTTGGTTATAAATAAAATAAAATGATTCACATTTGTTTCAAATATGGGCTTTAGAGAATGCAAGGAGAAAAAAATTTCATGAGCCAAAGGAAGCCATTGCTGCTATTTGTTTGAATTTATTTTTTTACTGCATAAATTTTATCTTTGATAGTTTTTACATATATTTTTAGGGTGAGAAGGGTCAAGGGCTTTAGGAAAGTGGGTGAGACAGTTGTTTTGACATTGTCTTTTTCCGTCCTATATCTGGAGGGGAGGGAAGAGAACAAGAGAAAAGCCATTCCTAGCTTCTCAACCATCTCATGGTTTAGGGTGCTCATGTGGTTTTTGCAGCCTGGGCCTGACCTGCCTATTCCCAGCCACAGTACTGCTGAGCTTCAGTGAGTTCCATGGTCATGCCTAGCATAGCCCATCACCATCCCAACCCTTAAGTTAACTCATGGTACTTGTAGTTCTATAGGTTTTGGTCCACATACCCCCACAGAATCCACCTCTGGACTTAGTTCTCTTGCATAATGGTAGGCGTCCTGACCCAGTCTAATGTGACCCATTTGTTGATCCAACACTCAGTGTCAGATACTGGGATCTAGCCCTGTGAGACAGGCTTCCAGCCATAGCTTGCATGTGCCCTGGTATGTGGTGGTCAGCCATGTTCTATGCTATCAAACCCAACTCAAGACTTCCATGTGGGCTGGTGTATCATTCTAACTCAAATATATCTTCAGGTCTCTCCCTTCCAAACCACCGGGTCTTAGTTCCCTTGTTTACCTGCAAGTGCAGTGACCCTGTCATTTGATGTCTCTCAGGAGTTATTCCTCACTCACACATACTATGACTTTATCTATTGGGGTCTCCCGTCCCACGGAAGATATCACCCAACACTGGAGAGCATCAGAGACACTTTATTCTATTCTTCCATTAAAAAGTGTTACACTGGAGCCCCTCCCCCGCCAAGCCCCGGCTTATATGTCAATCGTGTCCCATCAGCTTAAAGAACAAAAAGGCACACCAATGAGGGCATAGAGCCAATCACAGGGAATGAAATTGTCAGTGCCCCCAACATTTATCCATAGATATCCTTAGGCAGTCATTCCATACTCCCAAGATCCCAGAGCTTGCTGTTGGGCAGCCAGCAGGTGGAGCCTGGTACTAGATTGCAGTCTGGCTGCCTACAAGCCCAGGACATTCCAACCACCTAAAGTGGTGGATGAGGAGCTAGGATCACCTGCAGGAAGCCTGGGCTGGCACACTTACCCCCAGTCACCTGTGCTCAGACTTATCTGGACTCTTGGAATTTATTTCAGAAAAGGTAATTATTGTTATTCATTATATAATCTTTCAATTGAGAGGTAATTTTTGGTGGCAAAATTTCATGTATTGTTTGGATACCCAAGGATTTTTCTCTGGATGTTACGGCTTCTGCTCACATCTACTATTGCCATTTTGATGAATGTAATTAAAATAAATTCAGTATAAACTTCATTATATGTGAATACCTTTGTCACCTTATGATGTGCTTTTTCTTTTCAACCAGATTTATTTTAGAATTTGTGGAAAAATAATTTGTATTTATTGTATTACTGTTTGTCTTCTCATGCTTGGCATTTTTCACTTGTCCTAACATCCTCTAGGTATCCTCTGTTGCAAATGATAGGATTTTCTTCTTTAAACAACTGAGTAATATTCAGAATCTGTACCACCAAGTTTGCATCTGCTCAGCTTTTTACATTTAGTTTGATTCGACATTTCAGGTTATGAGTAGTGGTGCACAAACATGGAAATGAACATACTGCTGACACAGCAATCTAATTTCTTTGGGAAATACTTAGTGATGGGGTTTCTGAATCACACAAACTACACTGTTTACTTTTTTAAAATAACTTCGGCAGTTAATCATTTTTTGATGAATTTGGAGTTACTTTTCAGTTACTTCCCTCAAATAAATAATTGCTTCATGAATTACTTAAGCTCATAAGCAATTTTGGGCAAACAGATATATCTAGCTTGATGAATGGAAGAGATCCATTTGTTCATCACATTTTCCAGATTTCTAGATACATTGAAGCAAGACTGTTTTTTTTTCTCACGTTTCTCTGGATCAATTCTTGGGAGACCTTAAAATTGTGTTATTTTCAGGGAAGCATCTTCCTCCTTGATTTTTCTTGATTGCTTTTTGCTGGGAAAAGAAAACCAACAAAACCAAGTCAGCAAGGAAGGAGAGACAATATAGAATAACTGCATGCACCTGACAAATACATCATGAGAACCACCTAGTATACACGCACTACCATTTTTATAAAGAAGCTTTTCTGTATTCTCATATTTCTCCCCTAACTAAAATAACAAGCAAGTTTATGTGCATGAGGCAAACCCACTTCCTTTTTTCACATTTATCAAGTGCTCACTGGGTTGATGGATGGCAAAACCAGTGTGATGAGGAAGAACCTGTTTTAGTAGACACGCATGGAAAGTGTGTCTTGTCAGGGCAGAGCATGAACCACTCCTAACCTGGATATTTTTGGCTTTTTAACCACTAAATCTACTGGTGCAGCATAATCTCCATGACCTAGAGAGCCTCACAAGGAACTTGAAATTCCTGTGGGTAGGAGTGAGGCTGTCACTGAACAGGGACATAAACAGCCCAGGTCTGAGGCTACCAGGACAAAACCCAAGTGATCATTTCATTGCTCATGACAGAGCTGTCAGCACAGCAGCTCTCTGCTCAGATCAAGGGTGGAAGATTTACTCACGAATTTTCTACATCCTGAATGGTTTCGGGAAATGGCTGATTCCTGGTTTCTGGAAGGCAGAAGACAATTAGTCCAGAAAGCATGGGGAAGACTCCATACATGATCCAGGGTAGGTGAGGCGAGTACACGACTAGGGTCATCAGGAGGGGAGCCAGGACTGACCCAACTCCTGACAACAAATTATTGATTCCTCCAAATGTTGACCTGTGCATGCAAACAACAATACAAATAAGTTATATAGAGATAGCCATATACAACATCTTATTTATTGGGCCCTGTGGCGTGGCCTAGCAGCTAAAGTGCTCACGTTGAACGCGCCCAGCATCCCATATGTGCACCTTTTCTAATCCCAGTAGCTCCACTTCCCAACCAGTTCCCTGCTTGTGGCCTGGGAAAGCAGTCGAGGATGGTCCATGGTCCAAAGCTTTGGGACCCTGCACCTACATGGGAGACCCAGAAGAAGTTCCTGGATCCTGGCTTTGGATCAGCATAGCATCGGCCGTTGCGCTCACTTGGGGAGTTAATCATCAGATGGAAGATCTTCCTCTCTGTCTCTCCTCCTCTCTGTATATCTGACTTTCCAATAAATAAATAAATCTTAAAAAAAATTTATCATCTTGTTTTCATAGTGGAGGAATACTACAATAGAGATACACACACGAGCTCTGACAGTAAGCCCTTAATCATAACATTTTCTGTGCTGTCTCCCAGTTTGATTTTGGCAACTGCTTGAAAGTCTGTTTTATCACCTTTCAGGTCGATTTCTGCAGCATTGATCACAGAGTGTGGTTTTTAAGGTAAATGCAATGATGCATTACAGGATTTGGCACATTTTTAGGCACAATTGGCTGTTGTAATTATTGTTATTGGTCATTACTTATTATCTCAATTTGTTATGCTATTTACTAAACAGTCTGTTTTATTCCCTCAAATGAGTGAATGATTCCAATAGTCAAATTTGAAGTCAGAATGATTGTTTTTTATTTTTTGTACCTGCAAATTGTAGGGATGAGTTCATTGGAATAGATGGGGAGAAAGGTTAAAGCAGAAGAACCAGCACCAATTCCCAAAGTGGTTAAAGCCACACGTGCAGTCTGCATTTCTGGAGAGAAAGAAACCATGGAAAGAAAGAAAAAATTGAGTGACCACATCTGCACAACCACCCAATGATTTTGAGAAAATACTATTGGAGGAGTTCCTGGGTGGGGATGTTTAGGTCTATCATCTAACATAGAGAATCCTCAACCTTATGGAGTGGTCAATAGATTAATGTAACTTATAGGATGTCATGGCTTAAACAGAAAATGAACAATGTCGAGTTGCTCCAAGTCTTTCTGCACACCTGAGTGATTTCATTCATTTTATGTAGCTTTTCCTTTCTTTAAGACATGGCTAAATATTAAGGTAATAAATTCATATGCAGCTACCACTGGCAATTTGCCATATAATATAACATAGGTAATTTTATATGCAATTTATATATATATATACATATTTCTGATGATAACTGTATATAACCACATATTAAACAGCTTGCAATTAATAGTGTGCAGAACAATTTTAGATGTCAGCCCGGTATTTTGTCAAACCATTACAAATGGATTGTTTTATTGGGGAGTGGATACTGTGAATAGACACAGAATCTGGAACAGTAGTTCATGAGATAATTAGTACTTCCAGTTAATAATCAGCAGTGTCAACCTGGGAAAGATTAACAGTAAAAGTTTGAAAAGTATGTTATACAATTTATTAGAAGCATTGAAATAGGACTTTAACTTTGACATGAGGTACATTAATCCAAACAAATTCCAAGGACTCTGAAGAAGCCCATTCATCCCACAAACCCTTAACTTTCTTACCTTTGGGCAAAAATGTGCTGATTAGCATGCAAATTCCTACCAGGAAGAAAAGCAGGGACTGAGTGGTACGACGATTCAAGTGCTTCATTATAAAAATGACAGACAATCTGGGTATGAGTGGGACAGCCCCAAAGAGAATTTGTAGCATGAAGATACTGCCCCCCACTTCCTGGAGGTTGAGGAATAAGCCCATCATAGGTAAGGTGGCTCCCATGCTGAAATGTAGAGAGTAGTAAAGACAAATTTTATAAGCCTCAGTGACAAAGAAATTCTGCTTATGATTTTGAATGTAAACATTATAATTGAAGAAAATATCACTCAGTATTCAATGTCAGTGTTGCAGAAGAAGCTAAATAATGAAAAATTATAATATAAATGAATAGAGAAATTTACAATTGCTACTCATTTGCATCCTCTTTCCATAGAATGTTTTTAACGAGTGAAAGTATAATTTGTGCTAAAATTTTGCATCCTCCCTCTCTCGCTCCACAGATAAACTTAGTGCTTGGACTATCTCTGTAACCAGGTTAAGTAGGTGCCAATGAATCTTAGAGGGCAAGAATACCCTACAATGTTATCTGTAGACAATCTTTTTTAATCATTTGCTCTTTTTTTTACATTCAACTGTAACAAAAATGCTGTTAATATCAATATTCTAAGTCTGTAAGTTGACAAATGTAAAATCTGTTAACGTTTTGGAAATAGTTTTTTGAAAAGAAAGGAATTTCATTTCAGCATTTCAAATGGTTCCATCACCCCACGCACTTCACCTCATAAGGCCCAGGTAGAGGATTCTCATGCGCAGTTTAGTTGCACGCAGCATCTGAAATATTAATGGTGTTGTACTGGATTTGTCTGGCTCCTCCAGTGTGGTGGATCTCAAAGACTTCAACAATAGAGAGAAAAACAAGCATTATGAGAGTTCTGGGAAGTTTTAGTGATGAGTCCTGGAGGATGAGATGGGTATAAGAAGAGGCAATCACCACAAGGGAACAGTGGTGCCATCAAGTGTGGAATGGGTGTCTGGGTTAGCGGTCAAGAGGCCATGCACCACACAAAGTATGCCTGCATTTAGCTCATAGCTCAGGCCTGTGCTCCTGTATTGAGCTTCTGTTAATACAGCTCCCAGGGGTCAGTGGTGATGGTTTAAGTCATAGCGTTCCTGCCACCAACAGGCAGACAGACCTGGATTGATTTCCTGATCCTTGGTTTCATAGCCAACACAGCCCTGGCTGTTGCAGATATTTTAAGAATTTACAAGCACATAAAAGCTCTCATTATGTTTTGCTGCTTCTTCCCCATGTCTGTGGGTCTCAAGCTGCCACTCTGCTGTCAGACTTGTCCTCTCCCGTTTCCTGAAATCTCTCCTCATTGTTTCACTCTGGCTAATTATTCTCCATGCTTTTAAACCTGTTGCACATTTTATTTTTCTCTCCCTCATAGAAATAAACAGCAGTAAAGTCTCACTTGGTATTAAGGTGTATATATTATTAAGTCAGATTAAGTAGACTTTTTGAAGTGACAGCTGCAGTGGTCATCATTGAATCACAGTTCTCACTATGAGCTTCTGGTCTTCACACTTCTGTATAATTCAGTCACATTGCTGTGCTTGTTTCTAGTAAACAGAACAACTGGGTTCTGAAGAACTCAGTAAAATCAACCTGTAGAGCAGTGAGTACCACAGCTTAGAAGATGAACCCAAGAAGAGGAGTCTGCTAACCAGAAATGCAATGACCAAGATCAAATGAAGAGACAGAGGCACAATGAATATTACTGATGTCTCTCAACTGAAGTTGAACTGTGGTTATGCAACAAGGTGGAAGAACCCACCATGAGGGGAGGGCTATCGGAGTGGTGGGAAGAATTCCAGTACCTATGGAACTATGTTGCATAAAACAATGTTAGGAATATGTATATATATATATATATATGTATGCACTGAATTCCAATGAAGTTTATGGAAAATATTCATAATAGCACCAACTTCAAAAATAGGGTCTGAAATATATAATTTCTATTAGTATAACTGCATGAATTCTTAGTAAAATTACATGAATTTTGTCTGTACCAAACAAAACTGAAAGATAGTAATATGCTAAAATGAAATCAAGTATTCTATTAGCCTTGTGAGTTAGGATAATTTGTCTTTTAAAAATCCATTTAACTGTTTATGTTTCTGCAATAAAAGTACATTAAATAGAAAACAAAGCTGCATTCAGAGTCAGGGATGATGGCTGACTGTGGAGGGTAGGTGCAGCTGAGTGCGTGGAGAGCTAGGGACAAAACTGGAAAAATACAGAATAGGAAGAGGAGAATTGCTGGAAAAGTAATCTAAAATTCCCCAGAGTTGGTGGGATCAAGGCAGGGCTGAGCAGACATAGAGGACTGCAAAAAAAATTCTCTGGAGACAACAACACCAACTAGAATCAGTGGAAACGGATGCCATCGGGGTAAGCAGGGACACAAAAAAGAAGAAAAAGGGGGTGGAGAGGAATTGTTGAGTCACTATTCAGAGGCAAACTGGGTGGAATCTAAGCCAATCCTTACCTCAAAGTTCTCAGACCTGGGTCACCCAGAAAGACATTGAAATTGCCCAAAACAGAAATGTGCAGCTTGTATGGTACAGAGGTCTCTCCCATGGAAAAAGGCTTCTCTTAGTGACCCAGAAACAGGAGAGCAGATTCTGGGTATAAACTAGAGTGGTGCTTGAGCAAAGTGACCTGCCCTGTTGTTAGCAGGAGCACAGAACAGCGGGTGTGTGGGTGAGAGCAAGGCTAGCCCATCGTTGTTGAGAGAGGACATGGTACCCTCAGAATGTGGAAAATCTAGCTGCTGAATGTGCTGGGGTCCGTGCAGTGGGTGTGAATAACGTGCAGGTGTGAAGAGAACAGCTCCCCTGGTTGGCAGGGCCCAGGAGAGCTTCCAGATGTTTGGCTGGACCGGATAGATTTCTCTCTGACCACCTTGACACAGTTTCACCCCTTTTTGCATGGACACTCAAGCACCCCACTAAGAATTCTATAATCTATTGAGGCATTATTTGCCCCTGTGAGACGGCTTTTGCAGCCAACATGAGCTTGATAGTTAATGTTATTAATAATGTCTTGGTGAGTGGGCTTTTAACTGCACACAGCAGTACAATTAAACTCATGCCATTTCTGGACACTTTATTGTGTGCCTATCCATTGCCTGAAATCTAGCCCAGATATATAGCATGCCTTCTGGGAAAGGGCTTGACAAGAACTTTACAAACTAATGGAAGTGATGAGAGTATGGGCTGAAATTGCTATGACAAAAATATAGTTACTGGGATCCTTAAAGGCTATCCTATTACTGGGACACTAAAGGCCATCTTGTTACTATAACCCTAAAGGTTATCCTGCTATGGCAAAAAATATATAGTTACTGTGACCTTAAAAGTTAGCCTGTCCTTACAATTCTTTAGAACATAGAAAACATAGTTGTTTTAGCTGCTTTCATGATTTTTAAATAGAGGAAATATAGGATGATTTCACTCACATCATAAAGATATACTTTTGATTATTGTTTGGTTGTTTATGAGGTTGTAGAGCCTGCAGTTACAAGGGGATTTAATTTAAATCTTTTTGTCTTTAATCTTTATGTTTTTCTCTTCTGATGAATTTCTCCCAATAAATGATGGATAAGTTGTAAAATAAGAATTGTAATAGGAGTGTGTTACTGATTAATATGTGCTGTTTACTGAGGAATTCCCAGCGGCAATGTCAGAATGGATATTTCCCTGTCTTAAGGTGAAACAATTTGCAGAATTATCGTTGGAAGCACCCACTTGTCCGTTGTGGAGTTGAAACCAAAATAGAGTAAACATGGCTCATTGATAACTGCAATCATTTTGCTGTTATAACTCCTGCTTTACTTGCTTAGTTAACAAATGGTGTGAACTTACCAGCTCAATGTGCAACTAATGCCAATAACACCAATACTCATAAACCAAGACCCTCGCCTTACTACCCATAGATAATTCAATGTGGGGGATCTGGTTGTCATAGGCCGCAGCAAGTTTAAAGCTCAGACCTGAGGAGAGCAGGCGGGGCTGGCAAGCCGAGATAAGCAAGGCATGTGCAAGCCTTCATCACTCAGCTCTCAAGCTGTTTTAAATTATTCCCCCTTGAGGCTATGTCAAACTCCCCCTAAAGAAAACTATGTAGCTGTACTGCTTGGGGCCACCTTCCACAGTCAAATGGATGCAACACCATGACGTAAAAGGTCTGTGCCAGAACTTGTGACTGCTTCTGTATAAATAAAGCAGATAGCTTTCTTGCATTGTCCACAATGACCTTGGAATTGTAGTAGTCTGTTTCTCTTCTTTCTACGCCTATTTCACGGACCCTTCTCGAGCTCCGAACTCAGCTGGAAATGAAATCTGGCAAGAATGCACACTGCAGGGCCCGGCGTGGTGGCGCAAGTGGTTGGGGTCCTCGCCTTGCACGCCCGGGATCCCATATGGGCGCCGGTTCTGGTCCCGGCGGCCCCGCTTCCCTTCCAGCTCCCTGCTTGTGGCCTGGGAGGGCAGTTGAGGACAGCCCAGGGCTTTGGGACCCTGCACCCACGTGGGAGACCCGGAGGAGGCTCCTGGCTTCGGATCGGCATGGCATCGACCGTTGCGCTCACTTGGGGAGTGAAACATCGGATGGAAGATCTTCCTCTCTGTCTCTCCTCTCTGTCTCTCCTCTCTGTGTATCTGCCTTTCCAATGAAAAAATAATAAAAATAAATCTTTAAAAAAAAAAAGAATGCACACTGCATTGCGACATCTGGACCATTCCCTCTCAGGGCACCTGTTTGGTAGGCAGAGGCCAAGAAAGTGCCAGGCGGCAGGGAACACACTGGCCCTGATTAGCAACTGTATGGTCAGAACTAGTTAATCTATCCCAGCCCCATAACAACTTGGCAACAGAAAAGGTGAGTACCAAGGAGAGGGAAAGCACCAGTCAACCACAAGGTGGAAGCAGCCAACAAACATCCTGACTACCTGCCCAGAAGATGGGCAAATTAAGGTTGGATGAGGAGAACCACTATGGTGAAGTACAAGAGACAGATTACAGGAAAGGATAGGGGTCAGGCAGTTGGCAGGAAGGTACATGGAGACCCTCAGGACACAGGGAAGCAGCCGCGATGGCAAAGCAATGTTGCAGTGAACAGAAAGCCTATCAGCAGCTGGAGAGTGGTGGTTAAGATCCCAACAATAGTAAAGGATCCTGTGGCAGCAATGGCTCAACTCTTGTGGCAGCCAGGCAATTCATCTTAGAAATCTGCACTAAGGAGAAGAATCCGTCAACCAGAATTGCAATGTCAAAAGGTAAAAGAAGAGACAGGCATGATGAATGTTACTGAAGATTCTCCAGCAGAGGAACAAGGGCCCTGGCCACCCTCAGAATTAATTGAGGAAGACTTTGAAAAAACAGGAGCCACAGAATTCAGAAAACTCATTATAAAGTTTCTGAACAACAATGAGAAGCACATACAGGAGTTCAAGGAACTTAAGGGATATGTTACATAGCAAATGGCAGCAATGAATTAAATGAAAGCTGATATATCAGAAATTAAGAACATAGTGGAGCAAATTAAAAGTACAGTGAAGAGACTCAAAATAGAATAGATGAAGCAGAAGGAAGAATTTCAGAACTGGAAGATATTTCCTATCTCCATGGAGAAACAAACAAAAAGCTGAAAGCAGAGCTGGGTCAAGCTAAAAACAAAGTGTCCAAGAATTAAAAGATACAGCTAAAAGGCCTAACATAAGAGTTATGGAAGTTACAGAATGCACAGAAAGAGAGGCTGGGATTAAAGGTGTATTCAAAGAAATAACAAAGGAAAACTTCCCTAATCTGGAGAAAGATTTGGAAAAGAACATCCAGGAGGATCATAGAACTCCCAACAGAGTTGATCAAAAGCAAACTTCACTGCAACACATGATAATTAAACTCTCTTCAGTTGAACAAAAGGAAAAAAAATCCTTGAATGTGCACTTGAAAAAAATTATGTGACCTAGAGAGGAACCCCAATCAGACACACAGCAGGCCTTTCAGAGGAAGGTGTGACATATTCCAGATTCTGAAAGCAAAAAAATTTCAGCCTAGAATAACTTATCCTGCAAGGCTCTCCTTTGTCTTTGAAAATGAAATAAAATAGTTTCACAGTAAACAAAAGCTCTAAGAATTCACCTCTCCTAAACCTGCCCTACAAACAATGTTCAAAGATGTTCTCTTGACAAAGAGGAATAGCACTCACCAAAACAAAAAGCAAATGTGGAGAAGATCCCAGTGAAAACCAACAGAAGAGTAAATCAAAGAACAACACATCACTAAAATGTCAGGACCAAACTGTCACCTATCCATATTAACTCTGAATGTGAATGGCTTAAACTCACCAATCAAATGCCATAGATTAGTGGACCAAATTAAAATTAAAATGTATCTATCTGTTGCCTACAGAGACACATCTCACCCACAAAGATCAAAGAATCTGAAAGTGAAAGGATGGAGAAAGAAATCCCAAGTTGATGGTAAGGAAAAATGAGTGGGCGTAGACATTCTTATATCAGATGATGTAGACTTTGATGTGAAAAACATTAAAAGGTATGAAGAAATCACAACATAATGATCAAAGGATCCTTTCAGCAAGAAGAGATCAGCATATTAAATGTGTATGTGTCAAATACCAAAGCATCTAGCTATGTGAAACAAATACTAACAAATTTAAAGCGAGAAATAGACTCTGATACGTTCATAGTGTACCCGATTAACCTCAATGGACACATCAACGAGATTAAATCTCAGCAAAGAAACAACAGAAATCACCCAAACTCTAAAACAAAGGGATTTAGTTGATGTCCACTGAAGCTTTCATCCTGCAGAGAATACACTTTTATTGCTATCAGTACATAAAACCTTCTTCAGAATTGACCATGTTATAGGCCACAATACAAGACTCAGCAAATATTATAAGAATTTATAAGAGCATTTGTCAGCATGGCAGGATACAAAATTAAAGAACACAAATTGATGTCACAAGTATACAAAAATAACTCCATGGCTGAGAAAGGATATGTAAGTGCAGTTCCTTTTAAAATAATGGAGAGGATGCTCAAATATCTTGGAGTTAGCTAACCAAAGACATGAATGACCTATATAGTGAAAATTAAAAAGCATTTAAAAAAAGGACACTAAAAGTGGGGAAACTTAACATGTTCCTGGATGGGCAGAATCAATATCATCAAAATGTCCACGTTATTTATTGTAATATACAGATAATATACAGATTCAACCTGATCCCAATTTGAATGCCAAAAACATTCTTCCCAGAAATAGAAAGAAGATACAAAAGTTTGTCTGGAAACAAAGATACCATGAATACCACAGCTCCCCTGAAGAATAAAAATCAAGCTGGGGAAAATCACAATTCCAGACCTTAAGACATACTACAAAGCAGTGGTCATCAAAACAGTCCGGTACTGGCACAGAAACAGAGAAGAAGGCCAATGGAACAGAATAGGAACACCAAAGGGGAGTTCACACATGTATAGCCAACTGATTTTGACAACAGAAATGAAAACAATGCGTGGAAGAAATCTGGTCTCTTCAATAGAGGCTTTTGGGGCAATTGGATAGCAGCTTGCAGAGGTAAGAAGCAAGACCTCACTTGTCACATCATTCAAAATCAGCTCTAAATGGATCAAGGATTTCAATCTACACCCAGAAACTCTCAAACTACTAGAGGAAAACATGGGAAGAACTCTACAAGATGCAGGCATAGTTAAAACTTACTAGAAAAATCAGAAGAAGTACGCACAGTCAATTGAAAAATAAGTCCTTGTTACTACATCTGTACAGCAAAAGAAACTCAACAAAGTGAAGAAGGAAGCAACAGAATTGGGGCAAATCTGCACACTACACAACTGAGAGCGGACTAAGATCCAAGATTTACAAAGAGCTTCAGAAACTCAATGACAGCAAAACAAACAACCCTTTGAAGAAATATGCAAAGATAATGAACATTTTTCAAAAGAAAAATTCAAATGTTTAATTAACATATGAGAAAAGCTCAGTCTCCCTATATATCTTGGAAATATAAATAAAAACCACATTGCAGTTCCACCTAACTCCAACCAAGTTGACCTACATTCAGAATTGACTAACAGCGGGGCTGACACCAGGGGACCTTACCCCCGGCCACATGGCTGCCGGGGTCCCCAGGCTTGTGCCACTTCTTCTCCCGGGAACCAACAAACAATCTTCACACTCACTCGGAAGACTGCTTCAGGGCGACTGGACCCCCATGCGCAGCCCGCCTTGGGCTTAGCATGGGAAAGCAGGTACAGCTAATCCGATCCCCGGGGCCGAGGCCGCCAGGGGCATGGCTAGACCAAGCCCGGGCCAGGAAGAGGGGCGGGCTGACACCAGGGGACCTTACCCCCGGCCACATGGCTGCCAGGGTCCCCAGGCTTGTGTCACTTCTTCTCCCGGGAACCAACAAGCAGTCTTCACGCTCACTCGGAAGACTGCTTCGGGTGAAGACTGCTTTGGGCGGCTAGCAGGCGAAGCCTGGCGCCAACTGGCGCACTGGCCGCCCAGCCAGGGAGCACTGAGAAATTGGTTCTCTGTATGCTGCTCAAGACAGCTTCATGCTGAAACTGCGGTGTTTTGGGGACACCAAGCAACCCTAAAGATTTCCAATGTCTGTAAATCTTCCTCAGATGAATCTGCTGCTATTATGATTTCACCCTAATGTTCCGAATGATTGTAACTCCCAATATAATGCCAATTCCTTATGATACACAGTAACTGGGTGGGAACACAGAGAAATTCCTCATCTTCTTTTAAAAAACTAGGAACCCATGTAGTGTAACCTACAGGAACTGGATAGGTGTCTTAAAGTTGATAGATCCAGATCAGCATTAGACAATAGCAAAAGCTACAATGACACACAGGGGGAATTAGGAATGACCCAAACAGTCTATTAACAGGTGGTCATATGCACAGAATAGGGGAGAACCCCAGAGCGGAACAGAGGGAAGAGAAGAGGCTTATCCCCCACCCACAAGGACTCCTGGACTCCCACCAAAGTGAGTCAGAACAGACACAAGAATGCCATCACAACTGCCAAAAAGAACACGGGGATCTGGAATGCCTCCGGATGCAGTGAACCCAGAGGACAGACATCCCCCCTCTTTGGATAAACTACATGAGATGGAAGAAGCCTGAGTCCTTCCACATAGGAATTAACGACATCAGAACAACAGCCAGGAACCACGATCGATCATCAGAACCAGAAGATCAATAAACTTCCGGCGGGACAATGGGAGAGGAGCCTTCTCCAGTCCTTACCTAGTTCCAGCTCTGGGCCTCCACCCTCTATAATGACCAACAAGGTCCATCCTAAACCCCTGCCCACCTTCACACACACACACACACACACACACACACACACACACACACACACACACATATACACACACTAATAGGATGAGATAAGCAAAGAACAATAAAGAAAGATAGGTCATCAAGGACTCACACATGTCCTATTAGATGGAACACAAAGAACAAGTATCCATTAGCAAGGTATGACAGATTTCTCTGCAACACCCCCCAAACTCGTTGCACACCTCAATTGATGAGGTGTCATTGAAATAGTTGTAGGAGGTAGCCAAGAACTTGCATGTAATTTTAACATATTGTCTACTCAATACTATGTCAGATATCACATGTTTGCCTTGACTTAACCTGTAATTTATGCTAGGTTGTTTGTTACTTTTTGAACCTGTCATTGATACTGTCTCAACCCAGATGTTTTGAAGAATTGAACTTGCATTTTTTTTTAAAACATATTGTTCACTCAATACTATGTCAATTAATTCCATAATGTTGTATATTGACGCGGATGTTTTGTTGGGGATTTTAACTGACCGGATCTTTACTCTGTTAGCTCTACCTTCAGACCAGAGAAGGTCTCCCCAAGAGGCCACTGAACTTATCTGGACAATAAGATGCTGGACTTTATGCTAGGTATATGCTTGCAATGAAGGAATCTCAACGGAACTTGAACCGCTGTTATGCAGCAAGGTGGAGAAATCCACTATGGGAGGAGGGGTGTGGGAGGGGTGGGGGGAATCCCCAGTGCTTATAAAACTGTATCACATAAAACAATGTTAATAACAAATAAAAAAGAAAGAATTGACTAACAACACCTGCTGACACTGATAAGGGAATAAGGGTACCCTCCTTCACTGTTGGTATTCCTTTATGACCCCATCTGAAAAATAATGAAATCCTGGGACATTGTAATAGCCCACTCAAATAATTCTAATTTTACTCCAAGGTCTCATTGGAGTCCAGATTTGGGAGATTGTGAGTTCATGACACTTTGTACCAATAACCGTCTCCCCTTCCCAGATCACCTCAGTGGTGAGGATCTCTCCAGCGTTCTTCTTCCCATTTATGTATGCCACCCTTCTAAGTGCCTTCAAGGCTTCCTCTAGCTGGTTGGTGGTAATCAGCCACCGAGCCGACTCCACCAGCAACCTGTTGAAAGAACACAGAAACCACAGTAAACTCCACGACATAACTATCTCTTAACTTTTAACTCTCTTTCCCTTACATTGTAACACTAACATAAATTCTAGCAGTGTCACTAAATCAAATGTGCCTGACACCTTGTACTGGTCTTCATTAGGGGAGGGAAGCATGTGACCCTCAGTAAGTGGTTACACAGTCATAGAAATTTATTAGTAATAATCAATGGTATAATATACTTTCTTCTAACATGAACAAAGATTCTAGCAGTGTTGAGGTGTGCCTTACCCATTGTATTGGTCTTTGTAAGTGGCAGGGGTGGGTGAGTGGGTGGGAACTATATAAACATAGGAAATTGTGAGTAATAAGCAATGATATTTATCTTTCCATTTTCCGGGTGTACTTTGCATTACTTTTGTTAGTGATTTGTAATCTTCACTGTAGAGTTCTTTGACATCCTTAATAAACTTATCCCAATGTATCCCAAATGTATGATTATTGATGTTTTTTTGTCTGATTAGTGATACGTCTTTTTTCTTCATCTAAATAATACTGTAGCAATTTTATCTGTTCAAAGAATAACTCTTTAAAAGTAGATTTATTTATCTGAACAGCAGATTTATAGATACGGAGAGAGAACGTCACATGCATTCATTAATTTGCTAGAGACAGTTGCTACAGTCTTCCATCTTCCAAGGCTATTTTGGTTATTTTGGCCTAACCAAATATCCTGGACAAGTTCTTGGGCCATCCTCTACTGCTTTCACAAGGAGTTACTTTGGAGACAGAGCACCTGGAACTCTAACTGATGCTCCTATGGAATGCATGCTGTACACGCAGTAGCTTATCCCACAATAATCACTTCTTTGCTATTAACTTTCTAGGTCCTTGAGATGAATCATTATGTTGTTTATTTGAAAATTTTCTACTTTTTAAGGTAGGTACCTTTTGCTATACCCTTTCCTCTTAGTGTTGCTCTAGCCCATAAGGTGTAATACATTTTGCTTTCCTTTCAAGGAAATGTTAAAGTTCTTTATTCCTTTCCTCAATGACCCATTGCCTATTCCTGCTGTTCATATTTCATGCAGTTGTAGATTTTCGGTGGCTTTGTTTTTCCTAATTTAAACTTTCATGGAAAAGTGGTTGGGCTGCACCCTGGCTTCCCTGTGGCTGCAGGGCTTCCCGAACTGAGGGACAGACACTGAAACAGAGCCTAGTCTGAGGTATGGTGCTATGGGGTCAGGGGTGGTGATGAGAAAGGGGTGTCTGGTACAGGAGAGGTGGCAGTAGGTGTGAAACCCCAAGGGCCCTGACAGCCTCTGTAGGTGGTGGGGTGGTTAGGGGGGACCTGGGGCCTAGAGCAAGGAGTCCAGTGGCAGCAGCTCCCTTCCCCCACCTCAAATTGATATCTGGAAGGTTTTTACTCTGTTGATGTGGTGATAATGGCTGAGTCTGATGGGATGATACTGGGTGCAGTGTTGTTTATGATTTGTTAACTTTTTATAAGTCTTGTCAGGCATTAAACTACATGTTTTGGATAGTTTTAGTTAAATATTAATTATTCCTTTAACCAGGGAGTTTTGTCCATTTTTGTGCTGTGGCTTATTTTTTAACTTCTAAAGATTTATTTTATTTATTTGTAAATTGGAGTTAGAGAAAAAGAGAGACAGATGATGCATCCACTGGCTCACTCTGTAAATGGCTTCAATAGTCAGAGTTGGACCAGACAGGAGCCAAGCACTGCCTCCTACTCTCACATATTGAGACAGGGTCTAAAGCACTTGGACCATCTTTCATTGCTTTCCCAGGCCTGCCCAGGGCACAAGCAGCCATCTGTATGGGATGTTGGCATAGCAGGCTGTCACACATGAGCTCCTATTTTTTACTTGTTTAGTTTTGATGAAGGGTTTCTTATTTTTTATAATTTTGTACTGCTGTTTGTATTGACTGCATCAAATTTCATTAATAGGGTCAGCTTATTTTGTTGTAATTCATTATTTCATTTTTTAAAAAGGTAGTCTCAGAGTCTTGGAGTGACCTGTTTTGTCCGTTTTATTACTTGAGAGTTTCAAAGTGGTTGGAAATGACGTCCTCTGAACTGAGGAGGAAGGATCTTGCCATGGAGTTTTATTTACCAAGGAGATGATGGGGTAGAAGATACGGAAAGTACATAGGTTTTTTAGAAACTTATATTTGACTTTTATGATCCATCTCCTACCAGAGATGGTTTTGTTGTTGTTGTTGTTGTTGTTGTTGATGAATTTATTGAGTTCTTGTATAAATGGGATAGTAATTCTTTAGCTTGAAAATAGTTTCCTGCTATTTTGTAGTTGATTCTTACTAGGTTGGTTGTCACCTTTGCCATGGAGAGATCCGCTCCTTTGATGTAATCCTCCCTGCCTATTTTTACAAAATGCTGAAGTAGGCACATTTCTAGCAATGATTCTGTAATGTTTTCCCTTATTAATTTGATGGCTTCTAGGCTTAGATTTAAACCCTTAATTTGTTGTGAGTTGATTTCTGTATACATTTGAGATAGTGTTGTTGCTCATGGCTCCACATGTACAAACCCAATTTTTCCAGTATCATTAGCTGAGGAGATGATCCTTTGTCTAGGGAAGTTTTTCAGTTTTTTTTTTTTTGTCAGAAATTAACTTGTTGTAGATTCACGGTTTAATTTCTGGGAATTCTATTCTGTTCCATAATACACAAGCCTATTTGTGTGTTAGTGTAAGACTGTGTTTCTTCAACCATCACTATCTGTTTCTTCCTTCATGTAAATGATCATGTCATCAGTGATAATTTGACTTTTCTTTTCCAATTTTTACCTCTTTAATTCCTCTCTTTCCTAATGGCTCTGGCTAAAACATTTAGAGTATAATGGTGAGAGTGAAAACTCATGCATGCTTTTAGATTTTCTAGAAATAATTCTAGTTTTTCTATGTTCACTATGATGCCTTGGTTGCTCATATATTGTCTTTATTGTATTGATGTATGTTGTTTCAATTATTGAACAGGTGTTTAAAAAATGATGTATTTCATTGAATACTTTCTTTTAATCTATTGTGATTACCAAATGGATTTATTTTTTCAGTTTGTTGCATGTCTTGTATCATCTTTTTTGATTTGTGTATGTTGAACCATCCTTGCATCCCTGGGATAAATCCCTCTTGCTTTGGGTGGATTATCTTTTTGATGTGTTGCTGTGTTTGTTTGGTGAGTATTTTGCTGAGGATTTTGCATCCAAGTTTATCAGGGATAGTGTTGTACAGTTCTCTTTCTATGTTGCTTCATTTTCTGGTTTTGGAATTAAAGTGATTTGGGTTCATAGAAGGAGTTTGGGTTATTCTCAGTATTTATAGTGCTGCATAGTTTAAGAACAATTGCAACTAAAGTTTCTTTAAAGGTTTGGTAGAATTCAGCAGTGAGAGCATCCAGCCCTGGACTTTGTTTGGTTGGTGTGGTCTTTATCATTGATTTGGTCTTGGTTATTGGTCTACTTAGATGTCCCCTGTCTTCATGCCTCAGCTTTGGTAAATTGTTTCCAGAACTGTATCCTTCCCTTCTAGATTTTACGATTTGTATGCAGATAGCTGCTTGTAATAATTTCTGGTGATTCTTTGTCTTTCTGCAGTGTCAGATGTAACGTCTCCACTTTTGTTTTCTTCTCTGCATTTATTAATTTGGACCTTCAGCCTCCAAGTTTTGTCAGCTGAGCTAATTTTATTGATTTTAAGAAAGCAGCTGCTCATTTGGCTGATATTTGAATGGTTTATTACATTTCAATTCTCTTTAATTTTTCTCTAGTAAATGTTTGTTCTCTCCCATTAATTTTGGGCCTGTTTTGTATTTCTACATCTTACACATGCATTGTTCATTCATTTAATTGATACCTTTCTAAATTCTTGATATAGACAATAATTTCTATAAAGTTTCCTCAGTACTGTTTTTGCAGTATTTCATCAGCTTGTATAAGTTGCTATCATCTCATTCATCAGGTAGTTTTTTAACTTCAATTTTGAATTTCTGTATGCTGCACTTCCCATCCAGCTCCCTGCTTGTGGCCTGAAAAATCAGTGGACGATGGACCAAAGCCCTAGAACCCTGCACCTGCATGGGAGATCTGCAGGAAGCTCCTGGCTCATGCTTTCAGATGGGCTCAGATCTGGCCATGGCAGCTACTTGGGGAGTGAACCAACAGATGGAAGATTCTCTCTCTCTTTCCTCTCTATAAATCTGGCTTTCAAATAAAAATAAATATATTTCTTAAAAGCTGAATGCTTATTCTGCAGCTGTAGAGTGAGTGTTTGTAACCAAGAAACAGATCCGTGCCCCAATATTGCAGATTAGCTCTGTGGTTGTGGTTCTTTGAAACTGCTTAGGTGAAATCCATCATGATTATTGTATGGGGACATAAGCCACTCTGTGATTCAATACTAACTATTTTTTAATTGCAAAGGTACTCCAGCATTAGGAGCCAAATATTTACTATAGACACATGTTCTGCTTAAATCATTAATAATTTCCCTCTTTGTCCCTTTTAACAGCTTTTGTCTTAGAGATGACCTTTAATGGTGTTAGGAAAGCTATTCCTGCACATTTTTACTTTCATTTTCCATTCGTTCACTGTGCATCTTTACTGGAATGTAATGTCATTACTTCATGACTAAGTACATGTCGTTGTCTATTACAACTGATTTCATAAGCAATTCTCTCTCTGCTACACTGCAAAGAAGACTACCAAGTCTCAATCTTTGTGGTGAAGTGTTATGCTTTTCCTTGTTCTCATTTCAGGCATTTCAGAAGGTATGAACAGGAATCATGGCTGCAGTCAGGCCTAAATCAACTAAATGTTTATCTGACAATATTTACTTGAGTCTTACCAACATAGTTTCTTCTTGGGTTGTACATACCTGGACAGCAAAAAGCAGACAAACAAAGGTATAGATACAACCAGCTGTAATGTGTACCAGTCTCGAATGGCAAAAGCTACTCCCCCAAACAGCATCTGTCCGATGCTACAGGCACATAACATCAGTGTTACTCCAATATGTTGATATCTTGGCACTGTCCATTCTGATGCTGAAAAACATATGTGCACAATTTCAGACAAAGGGCAAACTCCCAGGTTAATTCAAGACACAAATATAATGGAAGTCACACATTGTTGACTTACTAAGGCTGATACTGTTTGACAAAATATTCATGACAAAAGTCCCAGCCAAGAAACGTAGGATGCAGAAGATGATGAAATTTGGAGCAAAGGCTGTGCTGGTTTCCATGATGGCCATCAAGAGGAGACACCATGTGTATATCAGCTTCCGCCCATATCTAAGAAATAAGATTACTTAGGCCGGAGTAATATAATGTATAATCAACGTAAAACACATGAAATATCTTGAAATTCAGAATGAATGTTCAGCAGCTGTAACACTGTATTTGAACATGGTGGAATACTGCAGTTATCATCAACAGAAACAGATGTCAAAATGTCAATTTTGTCTTATACATTACATTTTTTTGTACTCTGTTTGTATGTCTCCACAAAGTAGGGAAACCTGATATTTAAGTTATGGAAGACTTGCTTATGTCACTAAACACAATGATTTCCAACAAATGAATTTCATCCTGTTTTATCTCTCAATAGTATTGCATAGCAGCACCCCAATCTCATCAATCAACAGAATAATTAGAGAGAAAAGATCATTGTCATCAAAAGAGCTAAACTTCACTATTGATCAGATGATAATAACTGACATTTATAGAATATCTTGCCTCATAGCTATAGAATACTTTCTTTTCTAAATTGCATGGAAATTCCTGAAGGATACACTTCAGCTAGGTCATAAGGATTATCAAGAAATTAAAAATCTAGGAAAACATACCATGTGTCTTTTTTGACCACAGTGGAATGCAGTTGGAAATGAGTAATTCAAGAAAATATAGAAATTATACAGACAAGTGGAACCTGAATAATACCAACTTGTGAATTAGCAGCGGGATGTGGAAGAAGAGGAAAAGTAAATTAAAATTAGAAACAAATAAAGATAACAGTGATTAAGTCAAATTGTGGAATACAACAAAAGCAATGTTAATAGAAAACCTTTCATAATTAGTGTCTTCATCAAAATTTTGAAACACAGCAAATAAATAACCTTACAATTTATCTCAGAAATCCAGAAATTATAAGACAAATCACACCCTGAAAAATAGGAAGAAAAATCAAAATTTAAGAAAAAATAATTAGTGTCTAGTGTGGTGGTGGTATTACAGACTAATCCTCCACTTGCAAGTGCTGCCATACCACTACAGATAATGGTTCATTTCCCAGATGATTCACTTCTGATCCAGCTATCAAATTATAGCCTAGGAAATCAGTGCATGATGGCTAAGGCCTCAGGTTAAAACACCCACATGAGAGGCTGAGGAGAAGCTCCTTGCTCCCAACTGCTCCCAGGTTGGAATTACCTCAGCTCTGGCCATTACAGCTATTTGGGGGAAAATACAATCCCACTTTGCCTCTGCTCTCTTTAAAAATCTGGCTTTAAATAGAAATATTTTTTCAAAAAGAAGCAAATAGAATGGCACTTAAAAATTATACAAAAGATCAGTCAAAGGAAGAGCTGGTGTTTTGAAAAAAATAAAACTGCTAAGTCTTTGTCTCAGTTGATTAAAAAATAAAAGGCCCAAATTGCTAACACCAGAGATGCAAAGGAGATGCTACAAGTAATACCACAGAAATAGATAGAATCATCATACATACCAAAATTGGGGCACAAAGACATTGAAATGCAATTGAATCAGTACTGAAGACAGTACCAATAGACAAAGACTGTGACTGGATCCCTGCTGCATTTTACCAACTGGTTCCAGTTTTTCTTAGACCATCCAAACAACTGAAAAGGAATGAACTCTTCCAAACACTACTCATGTGATCAACATCATCTAAATTGCAATACCAAAAAATGACACAGCATAGAACAAGAACTATAGAATGATATTCCTGATGAACATAGCTGCACAAATTCTCAACAAAATATTGGCTAATGGAATTCAAGAAGATATCAAAATTATCAGCCATCTGGACAAGAGCGATTTATCCCTGTGATGCAAGGATGATTCATCACACACAAACCACCAGATGTGATATGTCACATTAGCAGATTGAAGAACAAAAATCATATTATTATCATTTGACAAGTTATATCATCCTTTTGTGATTATAAAAAGCTCAAAGCAATCGTGTATAGAAGGGACAAATCTCAGCATAAACAAGAAAAATAGGTGGGGCTTCTTTTTCCTTCTGCCAACAGCGTGGGCAGCTTGCTTCTAGCAGCCATGATACCTGTGCCAGGGATAAGAAAACAGAGCAGGCCTAGAAGCTTCTGCATATGCTTAGGTCCAAAAGGGCGGGAGGCAGGGAATGCTGCAGAGAGGAAAAAGTGTGTGGGGATGTCATCTGGAAGTGGGATCCCAGATAACATGCTGGTATTGTGTGCACATGAACCTGGATTGCGGACTTGTACACATATTGGGGCATCAGGTTAGCATGGTACCACTGGCTTGGGGCCCCATGCAACTGCTTGAATCCAGGATAGGTGGAGGAGTAGGATCCCAGGCTAGCACATGTGCTGGGCAGCCACTACATAGATCTGTGCATGTGCTGAAATTCAGGTTGGGTTGGTAGGACTCCTGCATAGCATGCCACCCCACAAGAGGGCCAGGCTGTGGAGGCCATGTGCTCTTGGATGTAGGGGTCTGGATTACCTGGAAAAGCAAGGCATGGAATATGGCAGATGGGACACCACTGTGGGAGTACACTACAGGTGAGAAATAACTTCTGGGGGACTTCCACTTACAAGACCACTATACTGGAACATAAGCAGGGTGACTGAGACTGAGTGATTCTGAAGAGGGAAGTTGGAGGAACTTTCTCAGTCAGAGAAACGTACCCACCCATGTATGAAACCTCAGTTGGGTTGGTTAATATCTACCACAGTCCACCAAAGCACTCAAAAGCTAGCACTGCGGGGGCTACTTGGTTAGACCACAGTAACCACTGGTGAATTTTGGAACAGGGAGTTGACCATGTTAGGCTGGGTTATGACACTAACCAGCACATGAGGAACCAGATCTCAGGGTAGAATCTGTGGGCAATAAGTAGGTTCACCACAATGAGGCAACAATACCCTCTGGTATCCTCAAGGACTGGTGGTGGGGAAGGGCCAACCTAGGCATCACCACAGAACTGACCTAGTTGGTTTTGAACAGACCAGGCTGTTCCAGGCTGTAATATCCATAGCTGCACCCAAGAACTGGGTGTAGGGTATACCAGGGACAACATCCACCAGCGCACACAAAGGCCAAGACAGAGGGGGCAGACTACCAAGTAAAGGCCTAGCACTCAGTGACAAAACCTGGGTGTTGGATTGGGCCTGGTGAGAAAACTTGGAAAACGCCCCTGGTGAGCTGCAACTCCCGCTGTCAAACACATGAGTTAGGGCTAGCTGCTATTCAAGCCAGAAAGGCTGCTTCACTTGTTGCCAGGTGTATTTGCCTGGATCAGGAGGTAGGCCAGGTGACGTTGGGTCAAATCATAACACACTGGCATGTACAATAGTCGGGATGGGGTGTGGCCCATGCTGGGCTAAGCTATCACACCTACCTGTTTGCATGAAAGTAGGGCTGCAACAGCTACTGTCAAAGGTCAAGACAGAGGATGGGTTGGAGCAACCTCTGGCAGCATGTGTGCCTGGAGGCAGGCCTGGACAATGAGCTAAGGGGACATCCTGAATAGGTTGTAGTGCCCATTGCTGAGCACAAGAACCAGAATGGGAATGACAAACTGGGCTGGACATGGTTGCAGCGTCTCAGTATGAGTGTGCACTGTGTCTGGGGTGTGCCAGATTTGACTAACCTCCAGCACCTACTGGTGCTCCTGAGAGCCACGGTGGATGTAAGACAGGCTGGGTATGTCTTAGCACATGTTGAACCACAAGACAGCTGGGTCTGAGGGTGGACAAGACAGAGCGGGACTGTAGCACCAATGGTTAGACCCCGAATGTGTATCTGCTGGTCATGCAAGGCTGTTGTACCTGCTAAGACAGGAGGTGGGCCAGTCAGGCTGAGTTAAGGACTCACTGACTGGTGTACATGACATCTTCCATTGGCAGGTGACCTGACAGAGGAATGTGGAGAGTTCCTTTGTCAGGATGCAGTCCCTGTAGGTGAGTGGAAAAATCAAGGCTGGGAGCAGCACAGACCAGGCTAGGTATCAACTGCATACTTGTGAGTCATGTCTGAGGGCAGGGCGAGCTGGACCAGTTCATAGCACACACCGGCAAAAGTGACAACCAGGAGGTGATGCAGGACATGCTGAGCTGGGCTGCAACATCAGATGTTTCACATTAGGGCCAGGACTTGGGTGCTGGTTGGGCTGGGCTAGGCTGTAGCAACTGCCAGCATGGCTTGAATTGGGGTCAGGCTGGATTGGTGTATGCCAGGCTGACCCAGGCTGCAACATTTCCCAGCAGATGCCAAGGTGAGGTGGGCCATGCCAGACTGTGGTGCACCATCAACAAGCACATGTAAGAAGCCATACAAAGGACAAGTCCAGTGGGGTGGGACTCATTTGCTGGGCCATTGCTCATTGAGTGAGCATGAAATTTGGGACTGGGGCAGACCAGGCTGTGTCAGTTTACAGAGCTGTTAAACTGCAAAGGGACAAGATGGCTGACTATGGTAGGCTGAAGTAACCAATGGTGCTGAAGGAAGGGGATGGGATTCAGTAGAGGAGAGGGCAAGAAGAGGATAATCATGGGGAAAACTGTGGGAAATGCCTGGGTGTTGCCAGGACTGAGGCAAGTACCACACAACTGTGAAACAGACATGAAAATAGGCAAACTGCAACTGCAAACCAAGAGGGTGAAGATAGACTCCGAACAGGGTAAACAGAGACTCAAGTGAAATTTGGTGAGTCACTGCTACAGGGAAAATCCCAAGGGCGCCTGCATATAGCAGGGGGAGAAAGGCATGAAGATCCTAGGGGCAAAGCACAGGTGAAGGGAGGCTGGACTGAAGAGACAGCGGCAGGCTCAGAGCTCGGTGACCTATCAGAGGAGTGAGCGCCATTGGCGAGAGGGCACCCAGAGAGTGAAACAAACGTTCCAGGAGAACCTAAGGATTGAAATCCTTCCACACCTGAAGGATCCCATACCTGCGTCACTCTGCAGGTCGCAGGAACCACACGAAAGGGAGACCCCAAACCTACCAGGACAGAAGTCCTCCTGACTCACAGAACCGCAAGAATGTGGAAAAGGGGGTGAGTGGGA